AGAATTACGGAAAGAGGAATACCGATTAGCTCGTCGGAATTATAATAACAAATGCATTGAATTAGTAGTAAAGTATCATGTTATACATATACACGAAACATGTTTTATATATAATATAATGTTCGATAGTTTTATATGATATTGGAATTGTAATTTTGATTATTGAATCCGATTCTTGTGATTTTTTATTACTAGGTTCAAGAAGATACCATAGCCAATCTAAAAGCTTATAACAAAATATTGGATACCGCAATGATTGAATATCACGAAGAACGTATGTCGACGGTTAATAGAATAATGAAAAAGCTGTGGAAGCACATTTACAAGGGTACGGATACAAGCAGCATAGAAATTTGTACGGAACCTACAGAGGGTGTAGGCAGCAACAGAAGAAGTTACAATTACAAACTGGTTCAAACTAAACACGGCTGTAAAATGGATATGAGAGGACGTTGCAGTGCTGGACAGAAAGTAATTAATATTTGTATCGAGTGATTAGCGCGCGAAAATGTTAGCGAAACGCGTTATATTATACAAATTTTTCGCAGGTATTAGCGTCGATAATTATAAGACTCGCATTGGCAGAAACATTTTGCAAGGATTGTGGTATTCTCGCTTTGGACGAACCAACGACAAATCTGGATGAAGAAAACGCGAACAGCTTAGCCGATACGCTAACTAAGTATTAACGCTCGCATTTTTATATTAGGCTAAAATTATGATTTAAATGAATAGTAATCTAACGTGTATAATACATGGTGGTTACAGGGTGGTTGAGCTGCGATCGAGACATCAAAAAAATTTCCAGCTGATTATAATCAGCCATGATGAAAAATTCTTACAAAAGCTTGCTGATTTAAATAATCACAAACAATTCCATGAGCTTTATCGCAAACACACGTACGTTACATAAGACTATAAAAATGTTTCTTGTAAGAAAGACAGAAATAATAAACTAGACTGTTTCTTGTAGTGGAATGACGGCGGTGAAGATCTCAGATTTCAACGAACCCACAAGTTCCTTATTGCACGTTAAAAGTGAAGATGAATCTGATGAAGAAGATCAACGTGCCAATCAATTTGGACAGTCAACCAGCGGCTTATCTAAACAGACATCAAGCAAGAAAAGGTTTAACTGGAATGACTCCAATGAAGATGAGCCGCCACCTAGAAAGAAATATCATTTCGAATAATTTAAAATACACATTCCATTTATATATCAAATATATATGCATTATATATCTTTTTTAAATATATATATATATACATATATTTTATTTTTTTCTAAGAATATTCCTATGATTGTTAAAATATACTGATGACATGTTAGTTCATATATTACAAGAAACTTATACAGTGTGTTTAGTACAATGTGATTAGCAGTTATAAAGTGTGCTTCTGAGAATACCTCATATATATGTGTGATAAGAAAATTATTTTGCAATTGGTTTCTCGTTTTAAATATGTAATGTTAGTTATTAATAAATTTATTTTATAACACTCGATATGTCATCGAATTTTATATATATATTACAATATGAATTCTTTTTACATGCGTGTTCGTCGCAGTCATTAAAAAGCAGCGAGTTTTCAACTTGGGACTGTCAATTGAGGCAGGAGAATCGTTCGAACGTATAACGAGAATCAATCGGGAAGTCTGCCGCGGGCGGGCAGGCAGGCAGGCATTCCAGTATTGTCTCTCTGCGGCGAGAGTCTCGATGACCGCTATGGTTAACGAGTTATCGCGAATCGAGTGCCTGGGGGAGGGAGCTAGTATCGTAATGGGCCGCCGCCGCCGCCGCTCAGGTAGCCGTAACGTTATAATAGAATAGCGATGTTAGTAATACCATCCCGCGATACCGCCGCGACTGGAGGCAACCGGGCGATTGACTGGCCCGGCGCGGCATATCGAGTCTAACCAATTTGCATCGCATTGTGTACTCGTTACGGCTTCCATCTGTGTCCACACTCGCATGCGAACCGACACACACCGAGGCCGGCGTCGAGGCGACGGCGAAGCCCTTCGATCTTCTTTATCTTTAGCATTTCCCTAGCCTTTGTCTTTCCTCGCCACGCATAACATTTCACATGTTTAATTACTTATTATTATCTCGGAACTTTTCATGTTACGCTCTTTTATATTTCTATAAAAAAAATAATCAGACCACTAACGATTTGTTTTAATTCAAAACATCAATTCTTAAAAAAAATATTTAAAGAAAAAAGGAGGATAGAGTCCTCATTGTATAAAAAAGATTTTTTTTTAAGCATCCATTCTTTAAGAAAAAAAAATGGGAAAAGTTAAAAGAAGAGGGTGGGATTTCCATTGTATAAAATAAAAACTGACTTCAGACTGATTTCTCTGCGATTGAGATAGAATATCCTGGATTTAATAAATTAATGCAGGGGGGAGGGGTTGCATTTCAGCAGTAGCGGTAGCGATCGCTGGGTAACGAGAGACGGCATCGCTGCATCCCGACGGCGAAACCGAGCGCCGCATCGTTCCAGCAATCAGCGCCCTGGGAGAGCCGTGGAAACCGCGGAAACCCCCAACTCTATTATCGTTTCTGGCATCGTTATCGTTATTAGCCGCTCCATCGCCCGGCCATCCTACAGCGGAGAGAGCGAAACTATCCTGGCCTGGCGCGTTCCCGTTGTGAACCCCAAGGCCTACGAATCGATATATTCTCGTATATTTTTTAAAACTATATATGCGCATACATGTTTTATACATATATAAAAATAAGTAAAAAGATATAGTAAAAAATATTAAAAA